TTGCCAGATTGAACGGACTCCGCGTCGAATATTTGCAATCATCCCGCGTAACGGCTGCTAACACTCCCCGCTGCTTGAACAGTAACGACCGTATGTACGTGCTGCAAGGATATGTCAAACGTACAGCGTGCGTATGTGTCGACTCGTTGACAAATTTAAAAACAGTACTTTTTTAAGCAAAATCTTGTTCGTCCGTTATTACTAACGATTTAGACCCGGTTTCACCGAACGTCGTTTTAATTCATGTTTGTCTCTTTCTAAAGTAACCGTTGAAAAGAGACAAAGGATGAATTAAGCTAAGCTTAAAGTGAAACAACGTTGGTGAAACCGGGCCTAGTAATGGCCACATTACGAAGAGTATTTTTAATCGGAGATCAGTGTGGAAATCATTTATATATGAATGAGTACTGGGAAATTGATTTTCGGCGCATCTTATCATACATTGAACAATTTGTTTTTCACGAATATGATCGCTTCAAGACTCTTTCCTTTCTCACGAGCAACCGCAGAGACAGCGGATTGTGAAGCATCATAGTAGCTGGGATTTTCTAGGAGAGTTATCTCTAATTCAGCGAGGATTTACTCGCCAATGAATCTTTAAATTAGATGCTCCGTTCTTTTCGTACTGCGCTCCTCCCCGAAGGGTAAAGCCCCACTCGCTCAATCACCTATATCATGGAATCGCCAAGCATAGTCAATTCCTTCCACCCTTCTTTCGTTATCGAATCTTTACGCCCCTCCTTCCCTTCGGTTTCACTCCGATATTTGTGTCTCGCCGTAGGCTCTTGGAAAATCCCCGCTCTTACGTCAGCCCCCGTTATTTTCACTCCGTCCATACGGATTTAAAATTGCATCGTAATGTTATTTAACAATTTTGCGAGCGTCAGGCTCAACTATTAGCGACATCAAGTACCACCGCTATATTAATTAATGACGGAAACGGTGCCCGGTGTAGTTTAGTAAGAAGCAGTTCGGCCACGAAAATGGCCGTCCCGTAGGAAGGTATAAGACGGAGGACGGAAGATAGCAGCGCGAGGATGATGATAATCCAGCCTCTAGCCTAGTCCTATCCCGAGGGATGCAGGGATTAATTGACACATCGGCGTCTTGGAGGAGTCTGCTGGGCTGACGCCTCTGCTTTGGCACCCACCGACGTGACTGATGAGACGCCTGGAACAAGGCGTCGGGAAAAACACTCGTAGATTCGTGGCTTTTTTGTAGAAAAGGTATCCAGCAAGAATTACCGACGAAGCATGGAACGTCGGTCGCGCCTCTTCTCCTGGCAAATAACTCAACTAATCAGACCACGTCCTCCTTCATCGTCCCATCCACGGCGTCCCCGAACTAAAACATCTCAGCTGGAGGGCACGTAGATGTAACAGATTGAAATTTAATACGAGCAGCATGGTGACACATACGAAAAGACGAGAGATGTTACTTAAGGTTTCGTACGACACACCAGCCTCATAACGGAGGTAACGCCGTCTTGGATAGAAATTCACTAATGTGGGTTCGACAGTTAAAATCGTAATAACGGGATGATGAGTTTAATTTCTGTTGGCTATAATTCATGCAATTCATAGCGAATTCCAAGGTTGCTCGCACTAGTGCGCACTGAGTGCACGCCAGGACTTATTTGTAGTCATTTGTTATATTTCACTTCGTCTTAAATACATGTTCGAAAAGTATTTAGCCAAGAAATGATCCATACAGATGCTGTACAGATCATTTTACTGGCTAAGAAATATTTCAAGAGACATTTAAGACGATCTCTTAATATAAGAATTGACTGTAAACAAGCCTTAGTGTGCACTCAGTGTGCACTAGTGCGAGCAACCAAATTCGCTACTAGACACGATTAAATCGGAAACGAGTGTTCCTTTGAACAAGTTAACGCAAATTCAATCGACAGCTGAATAAAACAACAAATTAATAAGATTCGTATGGCTCAAATGTGATAAACTAAGAGCCGTGACGGGGCGTCGAGTGTCGAAATATTTCATATTCTAAATTTATTGCGAAAAATATTAGGAATAAAAGAATCTGGTAAAATTATTACCAATATTGTCGTAACGCTTGCGCCTAGTGTCACGGGGCGCGATTTGAAACATTATATTGTACATTCAGAAAATTAAATCTGAATTTTACTGGATGTGGAATTTTCGTACCCTCCCAACGCGAGAAGTATAATTATAAAGAGGCGCGCGATTATTATATATAGGCTCGCAAATCACAAAGAGATGACCGAGGCAGCGCGCGATAAGGGATAACACGGTAGTTGAAAGCAAAGAGCCGACGTGTACGAGGCGTCGGTGGCGGCACCCCATGTGAGTTATGGCCGTCCCGACGCTCTCTCCCGCTAGTCCTGGGCTCAATTTACAGATGATTCCGCGTGTTACCGCCTGGCCAGCGGCTGGTTAACCTCCGTGCCAAACACTTAATCTTCCGACGTGTCCTGCGGACGGTCCGACCACGTTTTGGAGTCGGCACGACGTTAAATCGCCGTTGTAGACGCAAGATCGATGTGAGAAAGAGAGAAACGGGGATAGATAAATAGACCAAGACGTCTGTAGGGTCCCGGACGTTGTCGAACGGCGACCCTAGTGGCCCATAAAGTTAGCCAACCCTTCGGATTGTATCGCCATCCACTATTATATGAGCTTCAATGACGCGCGAAGTATCATGCGATTCAACGCGTGAAACTAGAGCATTGAAAAGATATAATCTATATATTCCGTTTATTACGTTATTTTCTGTATTCGAAAAACGCAAGGTAAGCCATCGGGGGGGTTTCGCAGATTAATTTCGACGCGTTAAGTCGGCAAAATATTTGTGGGCGCTCGTTTTCCGAACAACTTGTTGGCTATTGTAAGGCTATCGGGCACCAATAAATTCGTGTCGTGAATCCCTCCACGCGCTTATCGGTTGGTCCTCGACAGCTTCGCAATAACCAATAAATTGTTGGAAGAACAAGTGCTACGGGTATCTTACGCTGACTTAACGTAGCGAAGTTAATTCGCGACACTTTATACCGTACAGAATTTTATAGAGCTTATACATGTATAACAAATGCAATAATAAATAAAGTACATTGAATATATTTTTTGGCATATGAGGGATTAATCTTTCATGTAACGGTACATTGTAAATTACGAGTGCGGGACTAGTTGTGCGAGACAGTTCTGTCTAGAAGTTACGTTAGTTATACTGAGAAAAATACTTTCGCTACCATAGCTAATCATGGTTTGTTAAAACTATTTTGCTGCCGCACTGGAAAAAGCAATTTACTAGGTACGAAAAAAATAACTGAGCTATACGTATAAATAAACAGCCGATACCGCGAAATCGCAAATATTTTGCATTTAATCAATTTAAATAACAGAATTTCTATCTGAACTGTTAGCGAATGTTGGAACGAAATTTTTTTTCCGTGACGCCTATTCGTTATAACGTTTGATTGTGGTACATAAACAGTTATATTCTTTGCAATGATTTTTCTAGCTGAGGGGTAAACCGTTGACCAAAATCATGTACGGCAATGCCTACTAATGCCCAGTGGGCATTACTTTATCTTATTACCTTCTTTTATCTTATTTATCTTATTTATCTTGTTCTAGCGCAGTTTATTTTCATAATGCTTCAGCAAGGCGTAAGACTCAATATGACTAATTCTCAGAAAATGCCTAGTAATGCCTAGTAATGCCCACACTGAAAAGAAAAATTTCGCTACCCTAGCTAATCATGGTTTACTTGAAATATTTTGCTGCCATATCTATAAATTTCTAAACCACAGCAAACGGTTTGCTATCGCATCTAGTACAATAGGTACAGTAGCAAAATATTTAGCCATCACAACTAAATATTAGCTGTCCATATTTTACAACTGAAATTGAATTGCCACAAGCAGTTTTTAGCTACGGCAACTACATTTTTCTTTCCGTGCAGTAATGCTGCAAATCTGTACATCACAATGCCCTCGGCGGTTTACCCTTCGGTTCTAGCTATGGTACCGAAATTTATTTTTATCCAACGCGAATAACTAATATTTAGTCATAAAACCTAAATTTTTCAGAAGGCAATACGAGAATGCTGCTGCTGTAAATTTTTCAGGCTACAAACAATTTTCTAACGGATACAAAAAATAGTGATAAATTTTTCTAGAGAAATCCAGCTGCGTTGGTAAGATATTTTTTTGTTACCAGATGCTATAGATAGATTTGTTATTAGAGTGTCATTATATGCAGGTTTTAGCTACGCAGCTACATTTTTTCCAGTATACTTTCGAAAAAGAAATTGTCCCCATCCGGACGCCAGATATTTTGAAAGGCTAAAACAATACACCGATAATTTGTTATCCACTGTTTACAAGTGTCCAAAAGTCGGTGGGTTTGATATACTATATATTCCAGATGTGCGGCATAACCAGTAGCAAAGGGAACGGCTTGAAATTGTTATTAGCCGTCGGATGGCAGGCACCCCGTGGTGAACCACAATGTAGCGGTGAGAAGCCAATAGACTCCTAACGTTGTAAACGACGAATCCTAACGACCGCGTTAATTGACATTTACGTTTCTTATTATGTTCGCCTGGCAAATATCGTAATTGTGTCCGATGTAGACCTTAATAGAAATAATGGGCGTCAGCAGGGTATATGTTTCTCCGCTACGATTTTTGTATTGATATAATTTTTATTTAGTATTATTTTAGAGAGCCATCAAGTTCATGATAGCGCGATTAGTTTATCTGTTACTTATCTGTTACAAATGAGGACTAAACCGATACTTGAGCTTAAAATTACTAATCATTATTGATAATGAGAAATATAATTGGTACAAGAACTTTTCAATGAATATATTATATTTAATCGGTGTCTTTAGTGATGGTAATTCAAAAACACGATTCCCTGTTTTTTTTTGTACAAGCTATAATACTCTTAAAACTATTTCACTTGCCAACAGTCGTACGATGATTTACAAAACTAAACAGTTTTGGCGACTCACCTTGCTGATTACTTTTCCTCGTAGTCTTCTTTTCCTTCATCCAGGGATACTCAGGAACGTTGACACCCGAGGGGTCGGCGACACCGTGGGGATCCATCATGGTATGATACGCGGGATGGTGAGCGCCGGGGCTGATGGAACCGCCGGTGCCCGGCGAGTGTTGCAGGCTGCTGTCCCCAGCCAATTGCGGCAACGCCGTCATGAATTCGGCCATGGAGGGTTGACTGTTGATGAAGCCGGTTTCGGCGGATCCGCATGTCGGATCCATGGCTGGATGATGAGTTCCGTGCGGGGGCAGCCCGGCTGGGGTACTTGCCCCCGCGGCCACCGTGGCCAGCCAGAAGCTGCCCCCTCCGTCGTTCGCCAGGACGGGTGTCGTCGGCCTCGTCGTCTTCACGGTCGATAGCTCTTTACTCGCGTGGACCAAATTCTGAAGATGATGATTGCCGAGCTGCAGATTGCCGGAGCTGGACAGCTGGCGCGGACTCTCCTCGGGGTGTACCAATGTTTGTTGCTTGCTACGCATGGGACAACACACACTAATTTTCACGTGCGGCTCGTCTCTTTCTAACGACGACTGCAGCAATCGGGGGGAATAACTTGCTATTAACTGCTGATAAAACGTGGGCTATTACGCGAGCCCCTTTCCGCGATGTCCTTCCCTCGTGTAATTTCGAAACCCGTGGACTTTGGAAAGACACCGCGTGCACGTAAACGCCACTTGACAGATGTCCCACTAAAAGTTTCGTTTATTCCTCAACTCTCATAATGTATACGCGTGTGGAGTACTCGTGTGTTGAAACATCGCATTGTCATTTAATCGGAAATTGATTAAGCTGAAATGTACCTTTAAACGGGCCGAAGAAAAGCATGGCTCTGCTTGTGTAGCCTATCACCTAGGTATTATCGGTTCTTTCGTATATTGTCATTAGTATACGATGCGAAACTCTATTAATTCTTTACTTAAATAGCGCAAACTCGATTACTTTTGCCACTCGCGCGATCTTCTCGAGCGTCGCCTTTCCTCGCTCGCGCTTATTGCTTACTCGCGTTACGATTAATGCGAAAAGACAGATCGATTAGTAAACCGACGAATTGTCCAGCACGTATTCACTGTACACTGCGGTAGCCACTATATCATGATATCGTGTCATGGTAATCCGTGCGCATCTTCTCTTACAAACTAAACCGGAGCAACGTTGTCTCGTGATATTTAATCAGCTGGTATCAACGGGAAGCAGACTTTTGGAGCACGATACGAGGCGTGACACTGCTCGCTCGCGGTCGACACGGCTCTCGGACTCGTGATCCGATTCATAGATCCGTCATCTGAATGCGGGAACAAGCAAGCACAGATCACCACTGTCACACTTGGCCGCGACGGGTTGATCGATAGTCCGACCGATCGACGGAGAACGCCGTGGCGAATCGCGCGTACCGCGGCTGCCGGTGACCGGTGCCGATCGGCCGAAACCCAGGGAGCCAGGCGAGCGGGCCAGGGTACGCCAAGCCAGTCACCGATCGCGGTATACTCGCTAAGTGACGGAGGAGAGAGAGAGGACGCAGAGAGATAGCGGCCGTGGGGAAGGTGGGGGCCCCGGCAGAGAGAGGTACCGGTGGTGGAGGGTACCCCGCCGAGCGAGGGGGCGCGGAGAGGCAGGGGAGGAGAGCGAAGGACGTCCCGTAGAAAGAGACGGTCGTCTCCAGTCGCTGCAGGACCGAAATTTCCACGATCTTTTTCGCCTCTCCGGTGTTCCCGGTGTCTCTGTTGTTACTGCTGTCTCTTTCCTCGTTCCGGGAGGGGGCGGCTGGGAGTCCACTTCGGCATCGAGGTGGAAGTCGTCCTTTAATGTGGCGGCGGCCCGGTCACGTGACTCCGCTCGCCGGAATGGAGCGACCAATCGCGGCGCGGTAACGCGAGCGGTGAGGCACGGCCCTCCGCCGACGTAGGCGGGCTGGCCTGTCGTGGCGACGGTGGCCTTGGAGGGCTCGGAGGGCACACACAGCCAGGAGGGTACGACGGCCAGGTCCGTGCCGTGAGAGTGCAGGCGGGCGACTCTCGTGCGGACGAGCACGAGGCCCGTTTGGGCGGCCACGGTTACCCGGCGCAACTGTGGGCGGTACGCGCGAGCGCGTCGTTCGGTGTCCCGCCAAGTGGTGGGGAACTTTCTCACGTGCTCGGCCACGCGGTCCTCCACCTTCGCCGGATCAGCCGAGGAATCAAGGTACGACAGTCTCGGGCCTTTATTAACCCACGAACGATACCGCGAATATTCATCCTCGAGTCCGCGAGACGAGACCGGAAGCGCTTAAAGCGGCTCGTCAAATCGCCCTCGACACCTTCCGATTTGCCTTGGACCTGCTCCAACGTTGCCTCTTCCTCGCGTTACTTTCACGTACGTGCAACAACAACAATAGAATGACCCTTGGGTCGACTCCAATTCTCGCGGAATAATTCCAAGTTGTCATTCGTAATCGCATTGTCCATTGAGATATCTTCATTTCGTTACAAGTGGTGCAACTCATTTATTTATTTCCCTAGCAGCACAATATATTGGCGCAATATTGGGAAATAATGTAAACCTATAGTATTCCCAATATTGGTCCAATATTGTAAGACGGACGCCTTTTCTTCTTTAGCAATATTGGTTTAATATTGTATCAATATCAGACCAATACTCTTATTGTTAGTACAGTGTTAAATATGGGCCAATGTGCACTTCCAATATAAATCTAATATTGCCGGTATTGGTTTTACGTTGGACAATGTTTGGCCAATACACTGTGCTACTAGGGTTACTTATTCGTAATGTGTCGGCGTCGATATGAGAAATTTTTAATGTCCAGCCACGATCAACCGTGTACATCGTTTCTATGCACAGACGTATATTTATACCACGCAAGAACGATATACAGAATGCTCCTTCAAAAGCGAATTTGGTAGGTTCGTGGATCGAATGCAGCCGTGTCGTTATTGCAACGGTCGGGGTTGCTGGGGGCGCCCGGGCGCGCCGACTGGCATCGCGACGGCTCGCCGTGGAGCAGTTTTGATGACAGATTACCCTGATCCGCTTTGTGGAGGAGCTTTCATTTAGACAGGCAGTTTGATTGAAAAGTTCACTGTCGCTTCCGCGGAAAAAAATTTGTGCCACTACCCTCATTGAGCGATCCATGTGAAGCTAGTCGTTTACTCGCTAGAATCGATCCCCTTTAGCGTGAGAAGATCCAATTCACAATTGTGTCCTACATATTGCAGCAGTTAAATAACACATTTCTACACGTACCTCACGCTGCGATAGGGCGACAGGGATCAAATTTGCGAATTTAAGTTCGCACATTATCTTCTTTTAGCTTTGTCTAAATCTTGATGGCAAGACTTGAGCTTTAAAATGAGTCTTTGAATAACAGATATGGTACACATAATATTCGAGGTCTAATTAAAAACACCCACGATAGGAAAATATTGAGAAAATTGTGTGACGACAT